CGGACATGATACCTTTTCAGTAAAACCACCCCAGTGCTGTCCCCTTTGGCAGGACAAAACACCTTGTGACTGGGGACGTAGACTGAACAAGGGAGGTCTGGGGGGGATACATCCAGGCCCGAAAGGAGCAGTGAGCAGGATTTCCATCAGTCCTGGCTTACACAGTGCGGGACCCTGATCCTGCAGACTGTGCCACGTGGCCAGGCCTCGTGCAGGGCTCTGCAGTGACTCTGTGGGGTGGGGGCCCATTGGAATACAGAGATTGCTGCGAAGGAGCTAGATGACACATGGCTGCTTCTGAGCGTGGAAAAGGGGAGGCAGTGGGAGAGATGGGAACCCATCTGCATTACCAGTGAGTGTATTGTATGCTTCCACTGACCCTGCCACAGAGGATCCCACGCAGAGGCTGGCTGTGCTTTGCTGTTCTTAGCCTGTGCCCTCAAAGGGGGCAGGATGGGTCCCAGCATGTTTCTTCCTGGTCTGTCTCCCTCCTGGCTGCCCCACTCGGGGCTGCAGCCAACAGCGTTAGAAATGCCTGTGTTCTTCCAGCAACTCTCCAGACCCACCTTCTTCGCCCGCAAGTTTGAGTCAACGGTGAATCAGGAGGTGCTGGAGATCCTGGACACACACCTCTACGGCAGCTACCCCCCCAACACTCCGGCCCTGAAGGCGTACTGGGAGAACGTCTACGACCGCGTCGATGGGCTCAGTGGCCTCAGCGATGTCACCCTCACCTTCTACACAGCCTTCTCCAGGCTGGGGCTCCGCAAAGCCGCGGCCGCACCGGCAGCAAAGGCAGACAAGCCCTGCAGGTGGGTAGTAAGCTCTGCAGGTGAGTAGTTGCCGTGGGCTCGAGCCAGGCTCCGAGCGGTGGCCTGCATCTCGTGCTGGGAGGATGCTGATGCTCATGTGTGCAACCTCTCCCTCTGTCTCTCCCTCTCCAGGTTCGAGCCCCAGGGTTTCCCATCCAGTGTGCACCTGTATTTCTATGATGACCGTTTCCAGGGTTACCTGGTGATGCAGGAAGTGCAGAATTTGGAAACTGGGCAGGCAGAGTCCCTGGAGGTGTGGATGATGCCCCAAGGAGCTCTGAAGCTGGCAGGTCACGGAGGACCGGCAAACCGCTTACAAAACCTTGAGGTACATGGGGAAAGCTTCCCTCCCCGGTTTTCCTACACTGCGCTGCCCTTCCTCCTCTCCCCCACCTGCCCGCTGTGGGGTCAGAGGGCCACCAGCCGCTGTCATGTCAGAACAAAGCTTTGTCCAGGAGTTTGGCTTCCGTGTCGGATGTGGAGCTGATGGGTGGGGAAAAGGCCTGAAGCTCTCCTATGGAGCAGCTGAATCTGTGGTGCCCGGTGCCTGCAGCTGCAGGAGGCATCACCCAGCTGGATTAGTGCTGGCATGGTGCAGGCAGGCAGGAGGGCGGAGGAGGGTGAGGTGTGTGTTGCGCTGGGCTCCAAAGCTTACCCCTTCCCTGGTTCGGGGAGGTGAAATGGAAAACCTGAGCTGATAGCATCTCACCGCCTAGCATCCCACAGCATGTGCCTCCTGTTCCTCCAGGTGGGCACAGAGTGGGACCCCAAGGAAAGGCTCTTCCGCAATTTTGGAGGCTTGATGGGACCTTTCGATGAGCCGGTGGCCATGCAGAAGTGGTCGCGGGGCCCCAACCTGACGGCCACGGTGGTGTGGATCGACCCCACCTACGTCATTGCTGCCTCCTACGACATCACGGTGGACGCGGAGGCAGAGTTCACCCAGTACAAGCCCCCCCTCAATCATCCCCTGCGCCCTGGTGTCTGGACCATCCGCCTCCTCCAGTTTTGGGAGCCACTGGGAGAGAACCAGTTCCTGGTGGTTCCCCAGACCTTCAACGGCAAGCAGCCTCTCAGGAAAGGTGGGGATGCTCTGGAGTTTGGGGCTGCGGGTAGTGGGCTCTCTCTGCGGGCAGCCCGAGACTCTTCCCCCCCAGGGCCCCAGGGCTGGCCTCTGGGCTGTAGCTGATGGCAGGGCAGAGCTATCTGTCCCCCTGCAGTCTCCTTGTCTGTGTGAGTCCTTAAACCAGGCCCTGGGGGAGCTGCGGAGGTCAGATCCTTCCCATATCCCTGCAGCAGCACCTGTCCTCGGGCTGGAGGAGGGCTGGGGTGCAAAGGGTGCTGAGTCCCACCGTGGGAGGTGGCAGTAGGAAGGGCCAGGGCCTGGGCTGCTGCTGCACTGCTGATCCCCTCTGTCTTCTCTCCCTGTCTTGCCCAGATGACACCAACTGGCTGCACGGCGGTCCCCCCCCCAAC